CCTGGCTGTCTGTGGCCCCGGTGTCAGTGTGTCAGGTTGTTACAGTGTTACGGCGTTATGGTGTCAGTGCGTTAGGTTGTTACAGTGTTACGGCGTTATGGTGTCAGTGTGTTAGGCTGTTACAGTGTTAAGGCGTTATGGTGTCAGTGTGTTAGGCTGTTACAGTGTTACGGCGTTATGGTGTCAGTGCGTTAGGTTGTTACAGTGTTACGGCGTTATGGTGTCAGTGCGTTAGGTTGTTACAGTGTTACGGCGTTATGGTGTCAGTGTGTTAGGTTGTTACAGTGTTACGGCGTTATGGTGTCAGTGTGCTAGGTTGTTAGGGTCATACAATGTCACGGTGAAATAGTGATGTTGTAAGAGAGTATTGCTGGTGTAGTGATGTTGTTAAGAGAGTATTACTGGTATAGCGATGTTGTTGAGAGTATTGCTGGTATAGTGATGTTGTTAAGGTTGAATATTGTAATAATGATTTATTTGAAAGTGTACTGGTAGAATGGTCATGTTGAGTGCACCATTGTGATTGTACATTATAATATACGTACATCTAGAGAAGTGATGTTACATTAAAAAGTTTTATGGAAAAGATGTTATTGCATTATGGCTCTAGAAAAGTGATATTCAGAGTTCCGAGTACCATTTATGTATAGTACAGTTAGATTAGGGATTTTTTAGTGCATTGATACTCGGTGTTTGGATAGCTATAATATTATAGTATACCATACAGTGCGAGCAATAACGTTACAGCAAACTGTTCTGTTTGAATATCGATGATTTTACAGTGTATTGTGATACAGAGCTACAGAATTGTTTCGAATACTGATCTTGCCGCAGTGTTAGAGCGCTAAGTTATACTGTGCCATGGCAAAGGTAACACGTCACGAAGATTAGATGAAATGGTGACACTAACTCGCCGGCTTTTTTCCTTACAGAGACACGAAAACCTGAACCAACGAGCACCACAATGGCAGACGAAGAGACAGACATGTGAGTACAGTCCTTATCCCTCCTAGTATTTTCATTCTTTTTTAGTCATGCCGTCACGCTACGTTTGCTACAACTGGACCAACCATTCATGTCATCACGCTACGTTTACTACAACTGGACCAACCATTCATGCCGTCACGCTACGTTTACTACAACTGGACCAACCATTCATGCCGTCACGCTACGTTTACTATAGACCGCACCAACCATTCATGTCGTCACGCTACGTTTACTACAACTGGACCAACCATTCATGCTTCACTGAGAACAAATGGTAGCCTGAGTACCCTGCCTGCGCACCATTCGGCCTGCATGCAAGGTACCTGGAACCCCTCGTGGCTGCCGATGGTTCGCCCTGGTGTTAGGTTTGATCAAACACCATCTCAATTCCTTCAAACAATTGATAATTGAACTTACATAAAGCGAGGTAACTTTGGGTTTGTCAACCATTGCTTAATGGTTCATCACCATTGTGTTCAACCATTGTGATATATGATATCACAATGTAAAAACAATGATATATCATATCACAATGATAGAGGTATCACCGAGTGTGTTATATGACATGTATGTGATGGGTGTTGAACAATTGAATCGCAGATAATGGAGAATAATTCAAGTGAATGGGTATATAAAATTATTTAATGAAACTGGTGTCTTATTTTAGTGCCGTTTAATATGCTGGAATTGATTGCACAGTATGCCGGAAAATACGCTGGAATTCTACGATGTTCGTGGCATGACGCAATGGAATGCTGCTCGCTACATAAGGAAACGAGATAAACATCGGGGAAAGACCAAGAATTTCAGAGCAAATAAAACGTCAAGTACTTTCACGGTATCTTCATTGAAAACGTTACCGCGTCTCAGCCCCAAATATGATGTGTTGACTTAATTTAAAGTTTTCTTTGATTTTAAATTCATAGTTAATTTTTTATTTAAGCAGACTTACGAGATATATGTAAGTATTTCTATCAGGGGATGGCTTTACTGTATCTACTCGACCGGAGAAGATAGCGTGCAGGAAACTCGTGTACATATTCTTTCGCAGTCCCTCGGACACATACACACTCGATTCTACGAAAACGTTGCACGTACATCGCTGCCACTGATATTAATTTTCTGCGAAAACCGCGCTGTAAATCACCGACAATCAGAAGTTGATCATACGCTGTAAATCATCGACAATGGCGAGCAGTAAATCATCGACTATTAGAGGTTGAGTCCAGGTTATGAATCAACAACAATCAAAATTTCATTCCTAGCTGTGAATACCATATTTAGAGCCTAATTGAGTGCGCAAAATCTACAGTCAAAAGTTGAAAGTCGAGCTACAAATGTCGCGTTGATCTCCACGCTGTTACACGCTGCTGTTCCCTGCACACGCTGCTGTTCCCTGCACACGCTGCTGTTCCCTGCACACGCTGCTGTTCCCTGCACACGCTGCTGTTCCCAGCAATGCTACGGCCGGCGCACTACGTTCAAATGAATTTAATGGAATTCTACTGGATGTTCACCCCAATATAATAGAATGTAATGGTGATATGGACATATAATTACGTCCATATCACCATTAGTATAATAAAAATCATATTGGATGTAAGCCTCAATAGAACGACTTGCTGCTGTTAGTACCTCAATATAATGCAATGTAACGGCATATGCACCACAATATGATGGAATGTGAACTTCACTACGATGCAATGCGTTGTGTATGCCAAAATAATGTAATGAGCAACGTCTAGCAGACGACCGTCGTCTGAGCTCCCCAGTTGGGTTGGGGAGGGAGGTTTTAGTTGCTACGCGGTGGGGGCTACTGCACTTCGTACCTCCCGCGTACACCGGTTCGGGCCAGGTCCTCGCCTTCACCGGTCCGGGGCACGGACACTCGGTTCGGAACAGACACAAGCTTCGGAGTTACGATCCAAGTACGACTTACAACAATGCCCTAAATTACGAGAACCAGGAGACACGATATCGATTTGTAATATCATCTTTGAACGTACCATAAACATCAATAGCTGCAGTTTGAACGAAAAAACATTCAAAACTGTCCACAATTTCTTACGCTACAAGGTTGCAGCAATAATTTAGCTTTCAAAGTACGCTCAGTTCATTTGAACGGCAACGAACGGGAAATTATAACGTTCAAGTGAGTTGACCTTGCGAGCTCATGGGTCGGCGTATATAAGGAGCAGCGTGGCGCTCTACCCTCATAGTCCGCGCGACGTCCGCGGGGTGTGCACGTGCCGTGTGTCTTGCAGCACTGTGTCTCGAGCACAGAACTGGTGTCTTTCTCGGGAACTTCTGATTTGAACCTTAATATTGTGTAGCTTTTGAGATAAATTGCTGAATATTGACTTATGGAAACATTATTTGAGTGGTGTTTCAACACTGACACACCAGAGCGTTGTGTTTCAACACTGACACACCAGAGCGTTGTGTTTCAACACTGACACATTAGAGCGTTGTGTTTCAATTCTGATACATCAGAGCGTTGTGTTTCAACACTGACACATCAGAGCGTTGTGTTTCAACTCTGACACACCAGAGCGTTGTGTTTAAACACTGATACATCAGAGCGTTGTGTTTCAACACTGATACATCAGAGCGTTGTGTTTCAACACTGACACATC